ATGCTTGGCTTGTGCCAAGCCGAGTCAGGCGCAGTGCAGTCTTTACTTTTACCCTCTTCCATCATCGCAGCCCGGATCGATGCTGACGCCTTCTCTCCTTTCTACCCCCCTGCAGTTCTCGCCAGTTCCCAGATGGAGAAGGGCGTTGGAGCCCTCTAGTCCCTGTCGGCGGCTGCTGCGTATCTTCCCGGCAAAAGTTTGCAAACAGTTAAATATGATACAGCAGAAATGCACACCCCCCAACCCCCGCCATCCATTATTTATGTATTTGTGGGAGTGTGGTTTTGTAACCAATTCAGATGAGTTAAAACAAAAACGCCACCGCGGGACAGGGGGGTGCGGTGATCCCGTGCATCTGTCTTTGGAATGGGCCTTGGGGGCACCTGCCCGCACTGGGAGGCCCGGCGAAGACTGCAGCGAAGACGATGTGGCAGGGCGGGAGGGGAGGAAGAAGAGGCCGTGGGGCGAGAACGGTATCCACGCACCCGAGACTGGACCCACAGCGGGTCATCCTCGGGTCATTGAGAAGAAACCGCCATTGCGATGTTGTCTGTGTTTTCTGATTCCCAGGCCCCCTGGCCGCGTCACTCTCCTACCGCCCGCAGCTCTTCGCAGGCTCCGCCATTGCTCTCCGGGAGCCCAGACCCCAGCTTCCTATTTGGGGTGGAGCTGGAGACTCGAGCTGTCCCAGAATGAGCAGAGAGTAACCCTGCCACACAAATGGCTCCGCTTCTTTTGTTTTCAAATGATTTAAACTTAGTTTCCATTATGCCAGTACTGTTCTTTGTAAAACCATTAAAAAATAGATAAGAAAAAAGAGCTACTGTCCATAATTTCCATAAAACCATTGTTAACATGTTCACGAATCTTATTCCAGCTTCAGTTCCATGCCCGCCTAAATACATGTATATGTGCACACATACACACATATGTGCAATGCATGCATGTGTATTAAGCAAATAGGGTCGTCGTAGCCGTGCTGTTCTGGAAGTCCATTTTTTCCCTAAATGATGTAACATCATACAGCTTTCAGTGTCCTTAAGGCCAGATTTCACCTTCACCTTAGTGTCATGGTGATGGCTGAGATGGGCAGGGAGGACTGGGGATGTGGTGACCCTCAGGGCTATCTCATGGCTTGTTAGTTAGGAGAGAGGATTTTTACATTTCTGGAGTGCCACACCAATGCTTGTAGTTTCAAATCAACCACGTCAAAATTTCGGCTTTTCATCTCTGCAGATTTGCCTGGTTATTACCCCTAGGAATCGGAATCGTCAGGCTCTGGAGAAGCAGCTGTTTACTGGCAAGCCCAAGGTGGGCTGCTGTGTCAGAGGAGAGCCGCCCTCCTTGGGGAAGGAGGTGGACGGGCAGGTGAGCTGCGTGAGTGTGTGCACACGCATGCGTGTGTTTTCAGGGCGAGAGAGACAGGCAGGCAGCAGGATGACGCAGGTAAGTGTTAATCCACTCGTTCATTCCCGCAGCAGCGTCTGTTAAGAGTGGAGTGTTGTGTTCAACAACCAAGGAAACAAAGGTGCCCGGGGGGAGAAGCCCTCCGTCGGGCGAGAGGCATCTACCACACCATGTGTCTGGTGCTAGAATGAAGATATTTCATTTTTTTGGGGGGGTGTAGAGGTTTTTGCTATAGGGCGCGTGCGCTCACCAGAAAGACAGAGAGAGAGACAGAGAGAAAGCAAGAAATCACCCCCCGGGGGGATGGCCATGCTGGAATCCCTTCTCCTCCATTCTCCTCTCGGGATCTTGGGCACGCATGCACACGCACCCAGCATGGGTTTGAACTGCCAGGTCTAGGACTTGAACTGCAGTCGACTACATGGGAGTCCAGTGACATAGCCATTATACTAACTGCTAGTCCCTAATAATAAAGATATTTCTTGATGCTGTTGTAACAAATGACCACAGCTAAGCTTAGTGGCTTAAATGACACTGATTCCTTATCTTACATGCTGGAGGTCAGAGGTTCTGAGTCAGTGTCACTGGGCAGAAGTCAAGGTATCCCTGGGGCTGTTCCTCCCAGCTGGAGCTTCTGAGAGGGAATCCGTTTCTTGTCTCGTCCAGCTGCTGCAAGCTGGTGGCATGCTGTGGCTCATGGCCTTGTCACTCACATCTCTGCTGCCACCATCACTTTGCCTTCCCCTGACTGACCCCTGCCGTCTCATGAAGACCCTGGTGATTACATGGGGTACACTCAAGTAATCGAGGTTACCCTCCCCATCTGGACCACCTTGACCAAATCATGTCTGCAAAGTCCCTTTACCACAGGGTGACGTGGTAGGCAGGTACCAGTCTCAGCGTCTGGGGACTGGGAGACGGACTTCTTTGGGAGGGGTATCAGCCTACCACGAAAGGTTGGCACACAGTGCCTTGGAGTTGTAGATAACGGAGCACCCGACTGTGAAGGAGAGGCTGGGAGGGCTTCCTGGAGGTGGTAGCATTTAACTTGGTACTGAAAAGAGAGAAAGGAATTTGCCAACCAGTGAAAAGTGGAAAGGGCATCCCGGGTAGAGGGGTCAGCTTGGGCAAGTGCTTCAGAACATGAGCGGGGCTGTGTTTCGGGAACTGGGTCTGTTATGGCGTGGTTGTGGGGACACAGCAAGAAATGACACTGAAAAGATGCACCGGGCCTGACTTGGGACAGGCCTGGTGTGCTAGGTGACGGCAGTGGGACCCTCAGGGACTTCCGCAGAGAAGCGCTGAGATGAGATGAGTTGGGAAGGGGGCTCCTCAGCCCTGAGTTCCTCCTCTTTTGGTAATTGCGTTGTCCTGGAAGTCCTCTTCCTCCCTCTGGGTCTGTTTAAATTTCAAAATTTCAGAATGACGGGTGGGCTGGCTGCCTGTCACAGTGGCTAAGGGAACGGGATCTCCATGGCTGACTACAGTTCCAATCCTGGTTTGAAAAGCACACCAGGTGCGTGTTCATGTCCGACCAAAATCCCGAAGGGACGAACTGGAGAAGACATTACATTGTGACCATGCTCCCCTGGGAAGGGAGCGCCCTTCTCTCTTTCTCTCTCTGTGTCTCTGACGAGTGCCTGTACCCTCTGACAATTAAAAAAAAAATGACGAGAGTGGACTGGCCATTTATTTGTGTAGTTCATCACATTTTTTGGCTGGTGACTTTTTTTTTTGAGAGGTTTTTGCTATAGGGTACATGCACTTGCCAGACAGACAGAGACAGAGAGACAGAAAGCGAGAAATCACCCCCCAAGGGGGATGGCCATGCCACAGTCCCTTCTCTTCCATTCTCCTCTCGGCATCTTGGGCACGCACGCACACGCGCCCTGTGTGAGTTTAAGCCACCAGGCCCAGGACTGCACCCAAGTCAGCTACATGGAAGTTCAGCGACATAGCCATTATGCCAACTGTTGGTACCCTTGGCTGGTGACTTTTTTGAGCATCTGTTATTCCCAATTCACTCTAGAAATCGGGAGATTTTTTGTCTCCCTAGAAGTCCCCTCCTTCGCTACCAAGTCTTGGAGAAGATCATCTTACTGACTGAGAAAAGCTTCCTGCTCCTCAGGCTGTAGTTCTGAGAGCGGAGCCAAGGCCCCAGGGAAAACTCATCCAGTGTGTGTGAGTTGCTGCTGAGAAAGGGCGTGTCGGTTGACCTATGCTATGAAACAGACCTGTCCTATGAAGCACCAACGTTTTGCAGCTTATAACACGGGCACTTACCCTCTTAGTCCTGGGGCTTGACAGCTCAGCTAGATGGCCCTCCTTCCTGGCCTTGCCGGAGGTTGCTCATGTGGCTATCGCCAGGGCCAAGGGTTGCCGCTCGTGTCTGCGGTCTTGGTGCAGGATGCTAGTTGGGCCATCTGTCCTCATGTTGTAATCCAGCCTATCTCCTTATGTGACTGTAGGCGCCACACAAGACGAAAGTGTCACAGCGCCTCCTAAGGCCTGGCTTTGGACATCACAGAGCATCACTTCCTTCTAGTCAAAGCAGGTCACAAGGTACAGTGGGCCACTGAAGATCCCTGAGGTTTCCTCTTTCCCCCAAGCCCAGTGCACATGTCCTGTATAATCCGCTTCCCTCCAGTATGGGTGGGACCTAAGGAACTTGCTGGAATTTTACAGCTAAAGGACTATTTTAGGTTATATGGAAAAAGTAAAAAAGATTTTGCAGATGTTATTAAGGTCCCTAATCAGCTGACTTTTAAAACAAATTTTTATAAAGAATTACTTATTTTATTTATTATTATTTATTATTTTAATTTGCTACAGGTCACACGTGCTCACCAGACACAGAGAGAGGTAGAGTGGCTGGGGGGGGGGGGGGGGGGAGGAGAAAGAATGCCTCAGGTTTGGGACTCAAACTGCTGTTGGCTGTGTGAGAGTCTAGCACCTCAACCACCATGCCACCTGCTGACCAATCAGCTGACTTTGAGCCAATCAAAAGGGAGTTGATCCTGGTCTGACACAGTCAGGTGACTTCTTTGAAGCGCGTCCAATCTTTTCCTGAGGGGAGAGTT